TTCCCTATGATTTACTGAAGAGACAGTAATGCTTGCAGCTGCCAGTAGGCCTATTGCAGACTGAAAATCCACTTAAGACAGGAGGAAAGCCAGTTCATAAATACAGTACCAGAAAGTCTCTGGGAAGTATGGTTTCCCTTGTTCCAATGCTGCTTTAGCCCCAACTGCAATGAAAATACCTCCACAATCTCACATTTTGCCACAGCAGCATCAACTTTCTACAGTCTGTTAGCCCATCAGTTTTCCAAACTGAGAAGAAACTCCCTTTCCCTCCATTGTCTTGGAAATTCTCAGCTTCAGTGAGTGCATAGAGAAAGAGGCTGAAACTAGAATATGACCTGAATTAATTAGCTAACTAAGACAAAAACATAATTTTGGAGGAAGGAGGCTAGACAGACTGTTAGGCTAACGTATGGTCTCCTGAGAGCTCTGCCATTGGCTCTTGGATACTTCTTGTGGTTCAATACAGAGATTCACTATTTGAAATGAAGATTATGAGAATTACTTGGCTACCTTTTGAAAAGAGTATGAGATGTGTGAAAAAGAAATGGAGAATAATGGCTAAATCAGGATGGCTCAACCTCCAAGGGTTGTGGGATAGATGTCATTTTTGAGGGACCTCATTAAGCCATTCACTAAAGATATGTGACAGTAATCTTTTCTCTGGACAGCATGGTAGCACCTAAGAGGCTGGGCATGCTCAGGGCATGTTTGAAAGACTTCATATGCTGCCAAAAATGACTGTTGCCTCTTGCCTGCAATTCTGCCTGCAAGACCATAGCAGGAAAAACAGCTGAGCCAGAAATAGAACCGTCCTAAGGCAAATTTCAACTTCTGTGGCACAGTTAGATCACTCTGGATCATTTATTTACCATACAAATAAATCTCCCATTTATTTCATCAGAGAAGGCTTTACTGCCTTTCTGAAATCAAGGAAAAATAGTGCATTAATTCTTTTTAGTGCACACGCTAAACTGAGCTTCCCTAAACTGAGACAAGGCCTGAACAGTAACTGAGTAATGGCTTCAGTGCCAATGATCTAAACACACCTACAAAAACCAACATGTAACTATCCAGATAGATCCTACATACTGTATTCATATTTAAAAAAATGAAAATGATTATGACAAAAATACTGATTCCAGCTACTTCTATCTTCTTTTTGCAGAAATGGAAAAGAGGTAAGGCCTATACTGTGTACCTCAGTGTCTGAAAAAGGTATGCTGGAGTTTACAAAGGCCTATGGTGCATTAGAAGCTTTAAGGAAAATATTCTGAAATTACACATATCAAAAGAAAAACTTACCCCACACTGCCATGAAAACAGCAAAAAAGACAGTAGCTCCATTGTCAAAAAGGTGGGTTACCTGAGAGAGACAGTATTAATCTGATCAATTTATGATAATAAGGTATTATTTGTTATTTTTACCTAATAAATTTAGCGTGATGGAGTGCACAGCTGGACTGACAATCCTGAAGACTGAAACCCTTCCCTTGATGGGTGACGTGCACCTGTCAAAGTCAGAACTCCATATTGGCTGACCAGCCACCAGTCTGGCCTGGGAGTGACCTCTGCTAACCGTAGGTACGAGCAGTTCATTATTTCAAACCAAAAGCGTTCATTTTGTGGAGCTGCGTACACAGGACGGATCATAAGGTTGATCAAAGGTTGATGCCAAGGACATTGTAGCACATGCATCCAGCATACCACCTCTGGGACTGCTGAATCCATCAGTACAAATTGCATCCAGGTGGTCTACAGCCCAAACTTAGTCATCGTAAAAGACCACAGACGATAATATTGGCTGATATTAATTTCCCCTTTGAAGATTTTTATCTACCCAAGCTCACTAAAGGCCCATGGAAAAGACTGCTACCAAGAAAGCATTTTTATTTGCATATTTTAAAATGTACCTTTGCATACACACAGCTGTCTGACAACCTCATGAACGGACAGTATTTATCACATATAGGACACATTATGATATCTGTAGCTTGGCAGACTTCTTTACTGAAAAAAGATGAAAGGTAAATGTTAATAGTTTGATGCACAACAATTAGTCTTAAAATGAATAAATAACTTTCCCTAATAAAACAGCTGATTATGTTTGAAACAATACTATATCAAACAGTATTGGTTCTTTCTGTAACTGAGGGCAAGATATTCATAACCACATGTGTATAATGAATATTTGTTGACTGTCTAAGGCTTCAGAGTTTACAATCTGGGGATCCTGGCTGCAGAGAACAGTTCTTCAGAGCCAACCTAGCAGCAGCTTTTTATCATTTCCAGCTTCTCCGTGAATCAGAAGTGACCCTTTGTAGGAGGAGGGTGAGAATGAGTGCTCATTTAGGTAACCTTGACTCATTCTTGTGAGTTCCCTCAGGCAATGTCTTAAGCGTGAAAGATGCAGAGATGCAGCACTCATCACAAGGTCCAGGGAGTGCTTCATCTGAAAATGCCTCCCAGTGGTGGAGCTTTGGGAATGGCCTTGAAGAGAGTGAAACTTCCCCACCCTTCTCCGGCCTTTTAAGAGAGGAAGGAAGGAGCCCAGGCTGTACCTTTTTCCTACTTCATGCTGAGTGGCTAGCACCACCAGCAACCAGAGCTGGGCAAGAAAAGCTGCATCCCGCCCCAGTTCTGCTGTGCAAAACAGGATGCCTTACGAGAACAAAGCACAGCTTTTTCCTGAGTATTCATTTGACAGTTCAAAATGAAACAATTAATAATACATACAAAGAGCTCTTAAATTATTTATAATAACCCAAAGCTGTAATTTCCCTAACCAAAACGTTCACATTACCTGACTTGGCAGTGGTTCAACGTGGTGACTCCATACAAAAAGACAAACAATCCAATGAAGGCAGCTGGGAAGAGCATCCCCGTGTACCAGCCTAACCAAGCAAAGTAGAGCCCAATTTTCTCACCAAAGTACCGTCTGTTTTAAAACATAAAAACAGCTCAGTTACCTGCTAGTTAGCATAAATCTGCTTTATCTTGTTTATTAATAGAAAAAAATATTTTTATCATATCTGAAGGTGGATTAAAGAGCAGAGCCAGAATTTCCTAAAGAAAAAAACCTGCAATCGGGCTTCTAAGTCCACACTGAGGTACCTGCCTCATTTTTAAAATGAACTTAAAAATTCACATTTCACAATTTACAGTGAGGCTAATGTAGATCTCAGAAAGGAAACAGTGAGTTCATTTAAAAAAGCTTCTTCTTCATGTCTTGATAACAAATGGCTTTCTTTGCCTCTTGGCTATGTAACTGTATTTCCCAAGTAATTGCACTGAAATAAGTATGGTCACTTCTGTGTAAAACTGATATAACAGAAAAAATGACTTAGGCACAAATTATTTCTAAGATGTTAATCAACCAGAAGTTATTCTCCAATCCAGTTTATTTTCATTTTCGTATTTCTTTTGTTAGTAGAGTTCCTGGGAAATTAATCTCGTGATTCTAACACAGATGTAAAGTAAAGTGCAAGTAGAGTCCAACAAATTTCTCTATACATCATCTTCACTGACTTCAGGAAAATATTCTGAATTAATTCTAATTTGTCAGCCATACTGTTTAAAAAATAACAGCAAAGTGACCAGGGGCCTCCTATTTGCTACTTATTTGTTAGCACTTTTCTTCTTCCCAGACAAAACCACACCTTGATTTATGCATTGAGGAATACATCAAATGCACAAAACCCCTTGCAGGATGCATCAGCATAGGAGTAGGCTGCATGCACTGTCCTCTGTTTGATAGTCTTGCGCATAGTAGGCTGATCATCGGATTAAGTTGTTTTACAAATTAATATGTAGCTATCACAATTATAATGAAAATTTTAAGTGATTATTTGCAAGATTAGTTTTGAAGAATGAGGCAAGATGGTGATATTGCACTTCAGAGACTTTACAGACAATTTAAAGCTGGCTGTCAAGCAAATTTGAGAACAGCTGCTGATGAAAACCCACATTTATGCTAAAGATGAAACTTCTGAACTGTCCAGGGATGAAGAGGGAAGTTAGCCGGCACAGCCACCTTCACGTTACCAGAAAATATTCTTCACCAAACTTTTACAGTGAGGAGAAAAAGTTCACGAAGGACTCCAGGGCTGGTGGCAATGGAGGAGAAAAATAAATACTTGGTCTGGAATGGACAAAATCATCAGTTTTAAACTTCATGTCAAGATTTTCCAGCCTGAGCAATATCTGCCTAGACGGAGCTCACGCTTTGCAGGGTGAAGTGAGTAGGACTGACCTACACTGATCATTATCATTTGAGTTTACTGGTACTGTATGAGAAGTCAAATGTTGTCATGTTGTTTTCATTCTTCTGTCATTCATCAGAGATCCAAATTTACTGGCTAAGGAGGCGGAAAGCTAACAGTAACATGCTCAGTTCTAACAAGGGCAGCAGGTCTCGTCGTAAAAACACTGGCAACTGCTTTTAAGACCTGACTTAGAAGCGTTCGTGAACCCTTCAGTCTAATTATTTGGCTGAAACACAGGATGTCAAGCTGTGCCTGCTCCACTGAAATAGAAAACTCACATTTTATGAGATTACTTGTACTGAGTATTTATGGATCTATTTTTTCTCCATGTACATAGATCAAAGTAGTGAAATAAACCTAACATTCATCAAGATTTCTTGAGTATGAATGTTCCACCCTATTAGCTGAAGGCCAATCTTGAGAAACTTGATTTCTTGTTTCATTGAGCCTTTCTATCTAACATTTAAAAAACACAACACTCTCTTATGACCTAGAGATCAAGTAAACAGCTTCATCTTAGTCTACAATCCAAGTAAAGTTCAGTCTGTGCATAAGGAAGAATGGGCACAATGGGGAGCAACCCAATGCAATGTAAGGAGAAGGCATCTGAGGCCACCTGTGAGCTTGGTTTTATAAATTTAAAAATAAGTGCTGTATATTGACATTACTTTGACATATATAAGCTTAGATACATACGAACGCTTCCACTATCCACCTTTGCTTCACAAATGTTATTACACAAGCTGTACTGCTCTCATTGGCATCACAATCAGGTTTATCTTTCATTTCTTCTAACCCAGTAGTTAGCACAATTATTCTGAAAGTCTCTGCTCAGATACCGCTTACCCAACCGAGTACTCCAGAAACACACTGCGGCAATAAAATGGTCTTTGGAGACCTGACTGGGTGCCATATTCAGAGCAGTTCCATGTTTATTGCAAACTGTACTTGAGTAAATCTGCACCCTCATCATCCCAAGTGATGAAGATGACTAAGAGATACTTTTGCCACTCCCTTCCTTCAAGTTGCACCAAATATGAGGAACAAGCTCTTTGGTTCTTATCTATCACTGTCACTGTATATTGGATGGGAATTTCATGGAACGGCCCATAAAGATGGCAGTTCTCTTACCCAGATACTGACAGTTTATCCAGAACACATTAATATATGTGAAGAATTACGGAGATTTTTTTTCTAGGGTGCATCACTGCACATTACTTCCACTTACATTTCACCTATTATCATTCTGCTCATTGTAGGCCTCTCAGAATTTTTTCAGCCTCAATAACATTTGCATTTCTGCTAAATTTGCTAACTCATTATCATCCAATTTTTCTGATTGTTAATAGTGATGTAAGAAAATTATGCTTTGTATCTTTCGCGGTTCTCCCACAGAAATATTTTTCCACTGCAGAAGTAAAGACTTAAAAAACCTTCAAGCACCTAATGGAATAAAACCTCTCTCCTCCTGTCCTCAAATATACTATGTTATTAGTATAAAGAAATATAAAAAAATAAATTTCAGTTTCTCGGTTTTCTGTTGGTACGTATATTAGACCTCCAATACCACCCACCTTAATTGTGAATTGTCTCTCCTCCCATTCTAATGGCAGGACTGCCACTGACTTCAACAGGGCCAAGATTTCAATGTCAGTATTTAGCAGTAAGGCACATTTTTGAAAAGCTTTAAGCTATAAGGTCTGATTTCAGACCATAAAATGTGTTACTGGACTCCTCTATGTTTTCTGACCTTCATTATATTGTTTTTTGGGTTCAGGATGCATGGAAGGAAGTCACAGGGCTGGAACAGAGACAGGTTTGGACCCAAGCCAAGAACAGATCTATCTTCATTAATTCTTTCTCAGGTCAGAATGCAATCCTATAGAGAACCTATTACACCACAGAAACAAGGTGTAAGACAGCCAGAGCTTTCCAATAGATGTATTGAACAAATGAAGCTTTCTGTTATGTCAGGAAGAACGGGGAAGTGGCGAAAGCTTGACAGAAGATTAAAGGGGAGCTGGCAGCTTACAATCAAGTCACTTAAGGTAAACACAGAGCAAAATACAAGTTATTTAGGCATTAGTTTTGCTTCCAGTGTCTTTCAGGCAGCTTTACTATCGCATCATAAATGCACTTTTCACACTCTCTTTTTGTCCTGTAAATAGGACATACAAGCAGCAACAGGAATAACTCTTGGACAACACAGGAGAAAGAAGTTATGCACAAAACACTGTCAGATGTATAAAGGAGGTGATCCAAAGTCCCCAGGAGTCAATGGAATTGTTTTCATTAATTTACACAGTCTTAGAGCATATAAATACAGAAAGTCCTATCTTTTTCCCATTGCTATCAGTTCAAGGGATCTTATTATTCTTATTCTTCTTATTAAGGGAAATTATTCTTGTAAAGTAACTATGGATTCTAAATTACAAAAGAAGTGTAATTAGAATCACGGTTCCACATCTGCTGATTAACAACAGTGCTTTTGCAACTGGGTCAAGTATACACCTTTGTACTGCCATGTCTTTCAACACAGAGTGAATGCAGAATCATGCAATTCCCTTCAGATGGCTTTTTCTTGTTTATTTCTAGTGACTACTAGCTCCATAACAGCCAGCTGATGAGATTAAATGAAATCTGGAAGGCACCAGATTGACAGCACTAGAGATTTAAGACTCCATTTTAACAGCTAAGGGAAGAATAAGACAGCATCAAAGTAAGAACAATTTCCATCACCACTGTAGCAGCTTGATTTTATCGTGGAAATACTATATCTATTAATGAGTGGGTCATTTTATTCTCTATGATTAATTTATTTCTTAGCCTCTCTAAAGCATCTAATAACAGGAATGTCAGCTGCAAGCAGTGAGTTCTGGCCAAACATCTGAGGAAGAATTAACATCCATCCGCTCTTTTTGTACAGATGGCAACGCTAATCCCTTCAAGCACACCCCACATACTTGCTGGTCTGGGAAAAAAAACAGAAAAGTTACTCCTGCTGCAGAACTGGCACTTAAAAAGCTTCTGCTTGAAGCGCACATACTGAAATACTTCCAAGTGAAATGAACAACAAGTCTTGCTGGTGTTGTCAGCTCTTCAAGGAGAAAAATCCAGCTCACTAGACACGTGAGCTCCTGAGCGTGGCAGTAGACAAGAAAGATTTGGCAGGAGCTAAGGAAATGCGAAGTATCTAGCATCTGTGAAGTGAGAAGAAAAAGGCATTTCCCCTCCTCTCCTGTCACCCTTCCTTCAGTGAATTCATCGCAGTCAATGGTGCGTTCCAGGCAAAAACAGCAGGCTGGGCTGGGGCTGCAGCTTCAAAGCCCCCTGAGTGCCACTCCCACCGCTCACGGAGGGAGCCTCACAGCACTCCTTGCCCCTTTCCCTTTTCCCTGATGGGCACCTCCTCCAAGCCACCACAGGACATTTGTGATTGTAGCTAGGGTGACTGCTATTTTGACTGCTTCTCTTCCTTTGTAAAATAGCTGTGGAAAAATCTATGCGTGTCACTGTCTGATGAGAAGCTTAAAGATCCTGCAAAACCTTAAACATCACACTCAGACTACTCAGGTAGCACTTTACCAAGGTCCAGTACAATCATACCTTTAACCTTGCTCGTTCTGTTACCATTTATGAGCGTACTTAAAAGACCTTTCAGATGTCTGACAACTCATAGTCACAGATGGCTATTAAACAAAAACCCAGATATTGACTCAATGACACTTTCACAGACAAGACATACAGATGAAGAACAGTAGCCCTGACCACCAATCAGAAAGAATAATGGTGAAAATGATTTAAAGAAATTATAGATATAAATCTTTTATACTGTGACATTAATATCTTATTGTATACCAGGGAAATTAAAACCAAACAATTTCAGTATAACTGCTGGCTCCTCAATAAATGATCAACTTCCGTAGTGCAATTTGGCAAAATGTCCATATTTCAGTCCGGGCCAATGTGCTCAGAAAGAAATGAAAAGCTCTCACAATTAATTTATGAGGTACAAATATATAACTTTGTTTTCTAAAGCATTTTACAAAATATATAACTCAGTAAAATCCTCTTACTGTATTTCTCTGTGAATTTTTTCTCTATGAAATTGAACATCTGCTTCATGAAATGGATGGGGTTTATAGGGCCTTAAACATTAACACCTTCTGCCTCCAGGGGATCCTTTACACATCTTTCTATTTAGAAATAGTTTTGAAATCAATAAAAGCAAAGATTTCTATCAGTTACAGGACTTATGAAAGGGGAAATTTGTGGACTGGACCAATTGCATGTTCTATACGACCCTCCCAAATGGCAAGCATACCAATATCTTCAGTGATTCCAGTACATCTTAAGACTTTATTTATAGGCCCTTGTAGCTTCATATTCTCCTCTTCAAACAGAAAAAGCCCATTGAATCCCAACAACAGTTTTGCCAAAGTGATCAGTAAAAGATCTGACTCTCTAGATAAGCATAAAAAATACGTAATCCTCCATTAGAGCCTGCAAGTCCATTTAGAAACCTTGATTTAAAAGGGCTACGATAATTCAGAGCCAAGTCTCAGCTTTCTCAGCGTTTCTTGCTTTCAGGCTATTTCTAAGTTGAAAATAAATCTAAACTGTGGTGATGTGGCTGGGCTAAGTTTGGAGGATTCAGTAGAGAAGAGGCATCAAGCTTCCACCCATCATTAGTGCTGTGAACACAGTAGCATGCTCAGTGTCTGTGAGCATCATTAAACTTCATCGGGGCCACTCCTGTGATTGCTTTTTGGAAAAAATAAGAGGATCTAGCTGATGAGAGCCTGTTTTTGTTTTTTTTTCTTTTAATCAAAGCCATGCTCTAAGGATGAACAAGAACTCGCCAGTGGATGGCGATTCAATCATGTTTCCCCAGCCTCCACAGATTTCTCTCTTCCCCTTTTTCACCCCTAAATATTCTACAACGCATCCATTAGAAGTTTTGCTTTCAGAAAACTCCAGAAGGAAACTTCCTTTGCTTTCCTTTCAGCTCCTCCTACAAGCTCCTCTAGAGACATTTCTTTGAGCATAGTGGCAGGAATGAATAAAATGGATTTCTCCCATCGCATGATCAGTTCTTAAGGACTGCAGAAATTACCTGAGCTCTTCATGGTTTTGGCAGAAGAACCTATGCCCAAAGCATACATAAGGTGACATTTTAAAAGCAGGAAGTTCTTACCTCACGAGATCCAGCGGCTGGTATTTATACCATACTCCCCAGGAAGCCCAGCACTCATAAAGCAGGTGTCTGTGGTTTTCTGCCCCGTGGGTTCTTATGGAATTCTTACTTCTGTAACTTCCCTGGACGTTAATGAACAACAGTAGCAAAAAAGAATAGCTAAGAAATCTCTCTCACTAGGTATAGGGATAACACAATTTATGCAAACTCTATTCTTGGACACCAAACAATAAATACGACATTAAGAGGATGTTTTCCTCTGACTTGACTGAAATTTAAGACTCTTCTTCCTAAGAAATGTATTAGATAGCAAGTGTTCAAGTCAAAGGCTATAAGCTGGAGAAACTGATATAGAAATCCAGCGCATGATATTTTTCCCCTCTGAAAACATACTGATCTATCAAAATCAAAAACTTTCCACAGAACAGATCCAGGACAATTTTCTTTACTTCCTTTTTTTTTTCCCCCCCTCAAGAAAAAAGCATCTTCAAATGTGCTATTTTTACATTTTAGCATTTGAAAGTCTATGTTCTTTAAGCCATTTTAAAAACAATTTAGTACATTTGCATTAAAAGAGGTTGAAAAAAGGCCAATGTTGAAACATTTTGAAATTACTGAAATTGAATGTGTTTTTAATTCAATCACAATGTTTTTATTTTGATTAAATAAATTTAAGATTCTCTTTTTTTCTCTCCTAATTCAGGACTGGGAAGATGCTTCAGTATCTCAAAAGCGTTGTAATATGGTCACAATCAGTGGGGCCTTCCTAATTACTAAATGGAAGGAATATCAGAGACAGGTGTGGAATGCAAAAGAGAGTTATTATTAGGATTGAGAACAAATGATTTACACAAATAAGTCTTTGATTTTTGGGGGATGTGTAAGTTCTAAAGGGAACAAAAACTGGGAAAAATACCTCATGAAGAGGAAATGCAGCTTCATAGGAGCCATTACTGAGCAATCGATTCAGACCTAAAAACCAAAAAAGTATCCAATTATTTACCAATAGGACTAGAATAACTGCTATATAAATAAAGCTAAACACATTTTCATAGTAAGCTGGCTAAATGTAATTTGCAGCCCACTGACAGTAGAAGATACTAATGGAAAAATTTATTTTTAGGTTTTGATGAACTAGGGGATAACACAAGCAAAGCAGACTTTTCAAAATTAATCACAACCTGTCATTTATTGTGCCTGAAGTTTAAAGATTTTTTTTTTGCCAAATCCATCTTCAGTGTCATTTTAGTGAAATCAGCGACCTCATGCCAGGATTAAAGTTTGACTCCATATATTTTGGTTTACTGATATGTTAAAGCTTGTTTTATATTAAAGCTCGCTGGAAGAAGCTATTTAGATGAAGGGCTGTATTTCCTGAGAGCTGAAAACTTCAGGGAAGATCTCTACGTTTTGGAATTGCAGTAAGGCACCTGAAACTCTCCATTTTCATATAACCACGATTTTGTAAGATATGTTCAGTTTGTATCTTATGAAAGCTGCAGGACTAACAGATAGAACAGGTACAGGCTGTAGGAGCAGAAGGCCAGCTAACACACTTGAACTCTGAACCATAAAGATCACTATTTAGTGCCCAAAAGTAATTGTACACCCCATCCAGGCCTTGCCCCTCTCTGCTGAGAACAAGGAGAAAAGCAGTGAAGGACTGCTGAGACAAGGGCACTTTTTGTTTGGAGAGTCACTGAACTAGGACTGAAAAACTACAGGCAATGAAAAACTAAATGGAATTTAGCACCCACATATAAAAGCACTTAGCTCAGCACTTACCAATTTTGTTTTTCCCTTCTTCATATTTCACTCTCTGTAAAATATGGTGTACAATTCTACTTCTTGTAGCATTATTGAAGAAAGTGTCTTTGTTGTGTATGATGAAGCTATATAAAAACACAAACAAGACCATGTCAGGAACATATAGTAGCACGTTTAAAGCAATGCTGAGTTCCATTAATTTCTATAGCACACTAAGAATCTGTAGGATATGAGCAAGTGTAAGGAAGATTAAAGGGCACCAGATTAAGTGAGATAATTCACCAGAGAATATCTCAGTGTTGGTATTCATTCCCTAGCAAAGAATGGCACAGAGAAGCTTGCAGAAAGATCCAAGATATTTAATCATTCATTATCAGAAGCATCACATTAGATAATTTGTCAAAAACTGCAAAATGCTTGCACACGTGTTTGCAAAAATATAGGACTTGTAAGTGCAGCTGTAGAAATTCACGTGTGATTTCCACTTCAGACTACTTCTTTATTATGCTTTACCATGAACAGTCAGATGGAAACATCCACTCTGTAAAAAATGATTCTGCTAACCACAGTTACTGAAAATCAAAATACCACGTTAGAAACTGAAGATATTATATATTTCGATGTTTGGTCCTGGAAGCTAGAGTAGAAAAATAGCTTTCAGGAGCTACTCATGGAGTTATGTATGAATGCAGGTTCAATAGTTTAGACAGGATCGTAATGAATCAAGGAAATTCAACAAAACATTAGCCACATAATATATTGTATTGATTAGACTGGCTGGCATATCATATATTTATATATGGATTTATTAGCCACATACAACACACATACTCAAGGAAAACTATATTTTAGTACATCATCATGCTCACCAGAAAAATGCAAACAATAAAAGTGTTTTAGTTTAGAAATACTGTTTAAACTCGTCACCTAAATCCCCCTAAAAAAAAATTCTCATGCTTGCCTGAGGTGAGTAGGGGCTTCAGGCTAGACTGTGAAAGTCATTTAGGCTCTCGAATAAGCAGATAGGCGGGTGGAGTTTCTGATGAAGTAGGAGTCTGTGCACATCTTGAGGAAACTCAATGGTTTTTGAAAATGTGATTCTTAGTAACTGACTGAATTGAAGGCTTCATATTTTTCAAAATATTTTGGATAGGCCATAAGATTATTTCTTTCTTCTGTGCTTGTGAGAGCTAAGGAAGTAAATAAACTGATAAACAAATAAAAAGGTAAAATCAAGGGATGTTGTAGAGAGGCCAGCTTGCTGGACAGTACATTAAACTAGTCTGACTTTAGCTGAAATAAATAACCCGAAGAGGGGGCTTGGCATGTATTTATGTTACTTTGTCTTCTGCACAACATGGGATTCAGTGCTCAGTTTTCTCCTCAGGTAATTTTGCCCAAACAAAACACCCTTTTTCAGAGTGAACCTTTACTTATAGGAAATGATATATGGCCTTGTCCCTCCACATTCATTTAGAAAGACAGCCAAGCAGCCTGAATTCTGGACTTTATGGACTCCATATCCTCCCTCTCTATTATCAAAATTCTCTGCTGACAAGACTTGATCCAAAAGTTCCTAATGTTCAGTTTCAAAGGCACACAGTAAAAAATCCCAAAAGCGAAGGCATGAAAATCAAGCTGTTCCAAGAGCAGCATAATTAATGAAATCTGGTTTTCTAGAGATTAGTATCTCATGCCTCCTTTCCCACCCACTCCAGATACTCATAGGCCATTTCCGTGTCCACAATCTATTCAATACTGTACTTCCAGCTTCTCCCATATCCCTAACATCCCCAGAGCCCTACACATGCCCTGCAGGAGCTGTTGCAGGTAATTTCTGTAGACTGGCTGACTACTATCTATGTGCTGATTTCCCAACAGGCTGCTACCAAACAGCACATATAACTGGCGAGTCCTGGCTGTCTTCTCCTCTATATAGGGACAGATTTGGGTCGCTATCCCATTTCAAGCTGCTGATAATCACAAAATCAGAAAGACTGTACTCATCTTTGAGACAGCTATACCTGTATCAAATTTGGCTGAAAGTAACCTTTAAGTAAAACAGTAATTACTAGAAAGATTTTGACAAAAAAGGAAAACGCTATCAACGTAAAAGCCCAAATGTTTAAGGAAGCTAGGTTAAGAACAACCTAAATGCTGAAGATGATAAAACTTCACCAGTTCCAGCTGAAACTGGAGTTCTGTATTGGGCCATTTTCCTCTTGTAGTCCCACTTACAGATTTGGTTTTGGATCTCTCCCTTTATAGTTTATCCACCTTAAAAAAAATTAATTCCTTCACCTTTTTTATCAATACAAAGTAGGCAGAATCTGGCCCTCCAGGAGCAATAGAGGATTTGCACTGATGGCAAAAAACAAACAAACAAACAAAAAAAACACAGGAGCAGTTTTCAGTGTTGCTGTTAGATTTTACGATCTTCAAGCAAGCATGATTTCAAAATCTTTATTCTGTACCCTCTTACAGTCAGTTAACTTCAATTAAAAATACCCCTATACTCAAAGAAGAAGGCTTTTCTACATGAATGGGACTCAGGAAACATTAATTCCTCTACCTGCTTTTAGGATTATGCCTCTCCACTAAATTCAATAACAAACACATACAATAAATTGCTTTACAGTACCGGTTTCTGCAATCTCACTTCACACACCAGGTCTTTCTCATCCTCAGAAGGGGAAGCAAAACCCTTACTATCTGGATTGAAGCTAACAAGTCCCACCTGATCCATCTCCTGTCATAAATTTGAGTCAACAGAACGGTTCCACCTCTCATTGCCTTATGCTAAATTTCGGCAGTTACCATAACCAATACATGATGTCCTATAGTAGGAACAAATTAAAAGAAAGTAGTAAAACAGAAACACCTTGAATATTCTGCATTTTCCTACCTCTTTTCTTCTTTTAAAGTCTGGCTTTCTTTTCCAAGATTTCATCTCTCAGGTAGCCCTGAATTTTAAAGGAGTGTGAAGATAGATAACTTATAAAACCAAAATGGCACAATAATTTTCATTTTGACTCAGCTGTGAGTTCTTGTAGTATTCAGCTGAGAACTGAATCCCCTTATCTGGGTAACCAGTAAAACTAACCCAGATAACAGCAATAACGTTGATCTAGTCTCCTTGCTATATAAGGTTATTTTGCCCATCCATTATTATAACTGTGTCAGACTGCAACTATAGGTAGTACTTTCAACAGCTTTTTCAGGACGAGTATGCTAACAGCCATTCTGCATTTAGTCACTTCTATTTTCACGAGCCATGACTGAAAAAAAGGCTGAAATCAAACACTGTGCACTTTCAAAACGAAGTAAGAACTACTTGTTTAAAAGAGCATTTTAGTCATTTGTACTCATTTATAATTGCAGTAACTGTATTGTTACAGTTGTTGATCTCACTGGACCTAGAAGGAATGTGCAGGTGTCTCTGTGAAGCAGATGTCAACATCCCAGTACGGTAACAGCCATGAAACACCCTGTCTATTCCTGAACTAGCTGAAACAATCCTGAAACGTAAGTAAGTGCAAGATCTCCTGAGCTTCTGCCCTGCCCATCCTTGGCAGTAGCAGGCATCAGAGGACAGGAGGTGGAGAGGAGTGGGAGAACTCACCATGGCTGGAGCGGGCCAAGGCATACGTCCTTTAGCATTTTCCAACATTTTTCACAGAGACAGGGATGCAGAGGAGATGCTAGAGTTCACGAGAGGTGAGAAAGGAGTGCAAAAAATGAGTCCTCTGGATATCCTGGACTATCCTTAACTTTGTCATGGTTTTGGAATGGAATTGCGTGTAGTAAGGGTTAAAAATAAACCTTGGCTGTTTTCAACACAAAAAGCAAGTTTTTTTTTTCTTTTGGTTAGGCCAAATCATTTCTGTGAAATTGTCTATAGAGAAGCCCCGGAAGGAGCAGCATCAACACAACCAAGGGCTGACATACTGAGCTCTGGCACAGGGCACAGAAGCGTGAGGCAGACACGAGTGGGAGACACCGAAAGGCTGAGAATATCTCAAACAGTGCTAACTTTGTGTTACAAGATCCCTGTTAGAAGTTGACATAAATTATGGCAATGCTGAGGGAAGTTCTGATTTTTCTCTGGAATCAAAGAGGTTGCCCTTGTCAGAGATACAGGCAGTTCGGTGCAGGATCTATCCCTTTGTACCGCCTTTCTTCTGCCCTGGGATTTCTGGGCCTTTATTTCTGTAAGATATCCTCCAAAGTTTTTGTGCCAGCCAGACCTCCAGGATGTCTCCTTTCTGAATGCGAGCAGTAAATCCATATTCCGACAACAGCCATCAAGCCTGTTTCATGGTCTACAGCATCCAATAAGGAATTCAGAGCAGAAAGCGTTTCTCAGTCTGTGGAGCGCCTCGCCCTTCAAATTTCAGTTCAAAAGGCCAGAGCTGAGAGCATTTCCAAACTAGCTGTAGGTAAATATTCATCAGATGTTACTGAGCTCTGAACTGCACAAAGCTTCCTGGAAAGCTTTTTAACCCTTGTTGCTTTCAGATGGGATGATGTCTTCAGCTGTTCCGTTCCTGCTGCTCTCGCCAGAACTTCAGCATACACCAGGGCTTCAATATTTACAAGAATGCTACAGCTTGTTTGCAGGCCCTGTATACGTTCAGGCTTTAGTTACGAGATAGTTTGAATGAAGGTTTTGATCACTGCTTTGTCACTTACAACATTTGTAAGATAAAAATTAAGCAAGAATCAATACATTGTTATTTGTATTACTTGTGAAGATAATGTATAGGTAGATAATTTGCTCCAATGATTTGTTCCACGACAGTTAGGTCCATTTGCCTGGTCCTATAACCCTATATTTATGTGAGCCGTCCCTACTTATAAGGAAAGTCCCAACGAAGATAACGAGAGCACTTCTGGCAGAAAAGGTTCCAGAGTTGAGCCTTAATTAAAGCTCCTTTTAAAAATGTCATAATGTGGAAATATTGCTCTTATATTCATACTGTAAGTGACATGGAGAGTCGGTGAAGGTTAATTGCTTTGAAATGATATTTGTAGCTTTCTTAATTAGGCTCTGAACTGGAGATGTCAAACTATCTTGTCATAGATAGCAAAGTAGAACAAAGACAATAAAGCCAACTGTCATCTA